GTGTTGCCCACGTTGCCCATGGTGATCAAATCCCCTGACGGCATGGATCTGGGTGCGCGCAGCAGCCGTGTGTCCTCCTCCCAGGAGACCAAAAACTTGGCGCCTTGGGATTGGGCCCAACGCGCAGCGCGTGCAATGCGTCCCAGGTGACGGCGGCAGGTGAAGTTCCTATTGAGACCGCCCGACAAATGCATGTGCATCTCTTCCCAAAAGGCCGTGGCGTTGAAGGCGCGCGCAGTCGCGCTGAAGTCAGGGCCACCATCGCTTAGAAGGTAAATGGGCGCCTGTGGCAAGTGCTCTCGCACACTCCGCAAAGAGGAGTTCACGCGAACGCTAAGGGCATTGGTCTGGAAGAAAAAGGCAACCTCGCGCGGGTGCGTCGAGGTGCTAGCCAGCTCTATGTGCTCGACCTGCGAAGGTACATCCTGCAAACAAATCAGGATCGTGATGGCCACGGGCAAAAAGAGGCAAAGCGCACGCCATGCCATGTGCTTGTTGTTGGATGTGGGTTTGTCTTTTTGAGGTACCTTTTGGGGGTTGTTGCAAAAGGAAACAACAAGGAAGTCGACCTGTTTGGGGATCCGCTTTGAGTCACATCCATGTGTGTGTGTGTGTGTATCGCGGGCGCGGGTAAGGTGGGAACATCATAACCTCGTCCCAACTCAGATGATCTCTCGGGACTGAAACCATGTCCCATTTTTTGATATGCAGCGCATCTTGACACTCAAAGCTCTGATCATGATTTGAACGCAGGTGTAAAACGTTCCACGAAGGACACAGTACGGGTTCAAACAGGTGTGCACGTGCTGGAATCTTCAAGCAACGGACGAAGACACGCTACATGCACACATGGTGCTTGTCTCTTTGAGTGCTTCCTTCCCCAGAGCCTAACGACATCCCTAGAGACTCAACGCGCATAGAGAAATACTCATGCCAGTCCGCACAGTCCCTTCCCTGACTCCCCGTTCGCAGATAGTCCTCAGAGGGCCCCTCGATGGCCCACTCGATCTCCTCTCTTGCAAGGGATGGCAACCCATGGCTTCATTTCAACCAAGGCACAGAAGAACACACACTTCCATACTGGACTGACACATCGCTTTTAATGCATGGCTGTGTGCAAATGCCATGATGTGACTCTATGCATCACCTGCAACGGTTTAGGGCACACTGCATACTGCGTGCTGGACTTGTCCCTCTAGGCGGAAACAGCGCTCTCAAGTGACAAGAGCTGATAAGCACCAACAAGGGACAGCATAGGCTCAGCCGGAAGCCACACCCACTCTGGGGTTCTAAACCAATGTCTTTCGGCAAATCTGAACTATGCAGGTGCGCCAAAATAGAGGGACCCCCATATGGTGGTGCGCCTTTTGCTTTCCGTTTAAACCAGCCCAAAAATGGGCACTCTCAAGAAACAACACCCGCATATTCTCTATGCCTCCGGCAGGCCTGCTCAGCTCACAAGCGCGAAGACTTCGTCTTCATGGAAGCTGAAGATCAAAGGAGGAAGAGTCCCCCACTGGCCTGCAAGGGCGCGTGCTGTATGTGTCTGGGTCTTTCCACTTTTCACTGAGTGTATGCTTGAAACTTCGACACAAAAGGCCCAAGTAGAGGTAAAGAGGGATTCTCCGGAATTTCTCCAAGTTAATTGTTGTTGCACGTAACATCCGGACCAAATGTGCAACGCAAGTACACGCTTCTAGTTGCCCCCGTTTGGGCCAACATGCAGCCAGCAATGTCACACTATAGTACTTTTTGCGGAACAACAAACTTAATCCATCGAGATCCCGGGAATGGAGCTGGTTGGTATGCAAGCTGAAACCCATTTCGTTGCAGTTGGTCAAACATATGGGACCTTGCCGGGCTCCAAAAGAACTGCACAAAAGGTTTGTTGGTGCCAATTCAGCCCTGTTCCACGTGTGTGCGTTGGTTCAAGCCCCCTACAAGTATGAGATGGTCAGTATTATTACCTAGAGCTGCTACACTTAATACAACCGACTTGCTCAAAATGCGAAGACAAGTGATAGCCTTTGGGGTTGCACAAGTGGAACGGCAGAAAAAAGTCAAAGGTCTGCTGAGTGAGTCAATGTATGGACCATGAAAAAGTCACCAGAATTGCTCACAATCCAAACCCCATGGCACCTAACACAAGATTGTTTCAACAAACAAAATGATTTAGAACAAAAACAATGAGCACAGTTGTGGCACCTAATGTCGGGTAGCCATTAGCAACTTGCGAGACAATTCAGAGAGTGTGACCAAATGTATTCCCCACCCGGAAAAGATCAAGGGGAAGAAACAGTTGGTATTTTTATGTGTTTGTCCTGGCAGGAAGAATATGCCTGCCCGTCCAGAATGTGTTTCCAATAAAATACATTACTTACCCAAAAAAAAACTTTATCCCAAGCCCTGGCAATATTCAACTCTAAACAAATACGAACTAATACTAAACCAATAATAACCCAATCCTGAGCCAGCCAAACCAACTGAGGCCTCAAACAGCCGAATTCTTTGTGACTCTCTTTCCTAACTAAAAGCTGCCGCACTAACAAATTTCAAGGCGGTGGTACAGGGAAGCCTCATAAATGCTTAAGGGCAGGAGATACACAAAAACTATCTCTGGGCACATGCCGGGGAATATTAAACAAACACTAAACCAATTCTCAAGACTACTGAACCAGCACAAGGGAATACTAAACCCCTACAAAACCAATTCTGAACAGCACTACGCCATTCTGAACAGCAAAATAGTTCTAACACAATTCTGAACCAATGAGAGGCTTCTTGAGTAGGCCCAACTCTGACCCCCGCTTGGTCGGGCCCTTTTCCAATCAATATCCAACATTGCAGGGCCGCTGTACCACGACTTTTCCAACAGAACCATTTTCCATCGATTGATTCGGGCAATTTACTGTAACTCGCAAACCGTAAAAAAGGATGCCCGAGGAACGAAACATTCATCATGGGCGAGCTTGTTTCACCCCCGAATCGGTGAGCTCGTCACATTTTGGTCAGATTACTTGTCCCAGCCCCCCAGTGGATGTTTGAAGGGGTTCCCCCCACACATAAGAGTAGAGACGGGAGCAACCTGACTGGGTGGGCTCAAGCCAGCGACGTCTTCAGGCCTCAGGCCGGCGCCTGCTCCTGGCTTTGCCCAGTGGGCAGATGTGCGTTCCTTGCGTGACCCAGTCTGTTGTTCAAGTGATATAACAGGGAAATGCTGGGCTACTTTGCCCTGAACATTTCTACGAATTGCAAGGGAACACGGGAAGTCTGAGAATGTCCAGCCATATAAAGTAAATCCGCAGTAGCTGGGTGGGGAATGAATTTGGAATAATCAACGACGCACAGAAACTGCAAAACTGTCTTCTCTTGGTTCGGGAATCCTTTCTGCCACTCCACCATTCCCGCTCTCCCCCCCAAGAACAAGCTAAGTAGGTTGGACATGGTGGCCCTTTGGCACACACTGCGTGCGATGGATTTTTCGCTGCACCTCCGGTGCAGTCAGTGCTGCTCTAGCACACTCAACCGAAGCTCTTAACCTGCAAGCCGAAACAACCCATTTGTAGCCGTAAACCAAGACTAAACCCTGAAGTGCAAAGCTTGTAGCCAAATGACATGCCCTAACCTAAGACTCGAAACCAAACCTACATGAAACTCGACCAACGCGCATTGCCTATTGCGATCCAATGAGATCCATTCCACAGTCCCCAAGAGCAAGCAAGAAGATGTACTTGCTTCTGAGTTCAAAAGGAGCCGTTGAACACTTAAATGGGTAAATGAAGACTTCCATTTGCTGAACGGTTTGTCTGCGCGTCACTGTGAAAAACAAGCCAACACAGGCCGAAGGGGGATTCCAAAGCTTGATCACCCTGCCCTCAAAACCAGTCCTGCGTTGGCCTCCAGGAAAGCTTCCGACTGCAGACTGGCCGGCTGCTAGTGCCCATCCGCCGGGCGAGTCGACACGTCATAAGTCAGTCGCTCGAGCCCAGCTCAGACGAGGCAGTCTCGAGATGAACCATTTTGGGGCTGTTTTAAGACAGGCATGGAAACCAGCCAGCTTCGGGGGATGAACCCCTGCTGGGTTCACCAACCATTCACTACCACCGTTGCCGACATGAAAGTGATCACATTGGGGGGGGGTCCGAGGTTTTCTGGCGGTTCCTGAGTGGCAATCCAGCCGCTGGTGGACGGTCAACTTGTTTGCTTGCAGTTTGTCGAAGAACGAGCCGCTCCATGCTCCAAGTTGGCGCTTTTTTGGCGTCTTCTGTTGGCGCGGAAAAGCTTGTCTCCGTCGGCTGCATTTCTTCCGAAAAGCCACGCGAATTCCGAAATCGAATGATGACATCACGTACTGCGGGTCCCAAGATCAGGGAGCTGGGCCTAAAGGCCGAAGAGCAAAGCAAAGCCCTGAGAGAACTGTCCAAGCGCGCCCATATTTCTCGCAATTTGGGTGACTCACCCCGTGCCCAAAATGCAGCGCTTTGTGGCCCGAGTTGCTCCAAAAGATGTTCCGGTGAACACGGGGCACATAAAACAACATAGCTCTGACCATATCTTGGCAAAAACGCCGGCACAAATCCGAACCGAAACAGCATTTTTGTCTATCGAGGTTATGCTCGAAGAGAACTCTCAGGGATGGCAGGGCGCAACTTAAGGCAGCCAAAAGCATGTCCCATCCATGTGGACGTCAGCTTAGCCGCAAAAGGCGTCCTTGCGTTTTCTATATGTTTGCTTCGGTCCTCCTGTTCCGCCCGTGCCAATGTAAAAGGTCCATTTCAAAGCGGACTCGCAGTCGGAAAGCAAGAAAGCGATGTACGTGCAGCCGGCTTAATGTCGACACAAATGAATGACTCTGGCGAAAGGGAAAGTTCATCAACATTTGTGCTTGGGGTGTGTTCCCCCGCAAAACTGAAAGTTTTCTCTGGGCTGCAAGATCAACCAGGGGTTTGTCAATCAACCTGTTTCGCCTTTTGGGATTTTGCCGAACGGCGGCGGCCAGCTCAGGCGTCCTCCTCCTCCTCGGCACGAGTCGCTTACGAGGCCTCTTGTCTCAGACAACCATGGCTATGGTAGCTGACTTCGAAGGGAGACTGTTTGAAACGCCATGTCTTAAACAACCTCCTGTTGGTTTCCCTTTATATAAAGGCGAGGTTGTTTCAACAATTGTTGCCCATCCCAGGGGCACGTACGAGGTCCCTGGGTGATGGTCGGGATCGGTCTGGTTGGCCCGCTCAGGGGAACGCATATTTGGAGCCTGGTTCGGTTCTAGCTGCCTTTCCAGCGACCCCGTACCGACCCAAAAACAAAATGGTTGACACACCCTTTGGCTTGCTCAAAAGTAACATACTCTGATTTGGGACCCTGGTGCCCTTTGTTTGTTCCCCCCTTGGAAGGGGGTTACAAAGGGTCTACTTAAAAGGCATGCTTATGTTGGACAGCACTCATGAAGAGAGTGCTTGGCGCGTGAAATCAAACTCCGCAGGCCTTGGAGTTCAACAGAAGCCAAGAATCGAATCACGCCCATGCCTGACTGGGTTCAAATCCTTAAACACATAGATTCAACTTGTTCCCGCAGAACGTCACGTTCGCCCACAGATCAGCAGTTGCCGCACAGGGGAATGGTTTTCAGGTGGGTTTCTGGGTGGGGGGGCAATGTGTCTTCTCTTTGTTGACCAGCAACGCAGTTTAGGGTTGGGGGGTTTCGGGTTTTGGGGTGGGGGGGTTATGTGTCTTCCCTGAAGAACAAAGCCGAGCTGGCAGCCTGCGTTTTGCGGCGGGGGGCGGGGGCGCGGGCAAACGTAGAGTTCTGGGCGAACTTGTTCTTTGCCTGCACTCATTTTTGCCCACCAGTTTAACCGTTGGTTTTGTGGCCTACAATGCCCAGACACATATGGGGAGCCGGCGAATCGACCACGTACCCATTGCCCAATTTGTCGGGCCTTGAGGCGCACAAGCGCGGAGTAGTGCCCGTAGCCGTGGAAAAGGATCCGGATCGGCGCGCTCTTCAAGTCCTAAGGAGTTCGATTTTTGGGGTTAGGATTTCGCGAAAGCTGAGGGGAGATGGTGGGGGGAAGGGGGAGAAATGAGCACACACCATAGCTTTGGTGGGCTTCAAGGAAGGGGTTTGGGGACTTTGCTAGTTTCCCTGGTGGGTTGGACTTTGGTGCTGCGTCTTATTGGTTCGGCAAACATGAATCAGATCTTATTGCTGCTCCAGATTTGTTACAAGAAAAAAGTCTAGGTCTAGTCACTCTGTCAGTTAATGTGCGATTGGTCAATTGTTTGGCCAACCCCTCGCTGCTCTCATGTTGCCCTAATCCGGATGCTGACCCAGCATACGTTTCTGCGTGAGCGGCCGCTGTCATGAGCAGTGGAATCCACAAAGCACTAAGTATGTTGCGAGGTCGACCGTTCTGGGTTTGCTTTTCAATTTGGTTCGCACACAACCGGTGGTTTCTCGTTATTATAAACCACCTGCAACAAGGGTACCCTGAAAAAAGCGGCACAACATGGATCGTCAAGGCCCACCCAAATGGTAGTCTCCCGTCTAGTGCAAATGTCTTTCTTTTCTCAGGGTCGCACGCCTCGCAATCCAGACAACGTCTCCGCTGAAGCCCCAGGGTTCACAAAATGCACTCCACAACCGTGAAAGCAGTGCCAGGCCCTTGAAAGGGAGCAGAATTCACGTGGCCAAAAGACCCATTAAAGTCGAATTAAAGTAGCGACATCTTTCAACCCGCGTCTTGCCTCACCTCCGAAGCATGGGCTGGATGCGACGGGTGTGCTCTCTCGCACCGTGTCGCCGCGTCCTCGCCATAGTTTTGGATTCGGACCAGTCGAGGGTTCACCATGTAGACCTGGCAGAGAACTTGGACACCTTTGCCGACTGTTCTGCCCCCCTTGCCTCTCTGCTTGACCCTCCGATTGGACACTTACTTGAAAAATTGCGGGTCACAAGCAATGATGAGGCTGAGACGAGGCCATGATTGGCATCAAAGTGGTCCCATTCGCTTCATATTACATGAGACTGGTTCCAAAAATGGTTCCCCTTTGCCCAGGCAATAACCACCACCGCCACCCCCCCACCGCACACGAAGGAGGATGCAGGTGGTGACGGGAAATGTTGAATTCATCCTAAACAATGTCTACCTCAGGCCCGGTTTAAGCATTGTTTAAGCGCTTTCCATGTTAATCTACATTGGAGTAGTTTGCCGGACCAACAAGCGGGCCTTCGAAACTTTGACTCACCTGAAGCAAACGGCTGCAACTCAATTCGACTCACCCTCATGCCTCGATGGGCCGTTCCAAGTAGTGGGAGAGCATCAAAAGCTCGGGCTCCCCTCCCCACTCTCCGGATCGTGACATCCTGGGCAATCGGCAAGGCATCCAAACCAACCCCATGCGTTCGTGGTTCTGGTCTCCACAAAGAAGACAGTGATGGGGAGGGGCGTTGATGATCTCAACGCGGTGTTATCAACTGGGACACCTATCGGTTGTTATCTGCATGCTGGTTTTGCTGTTATGCTTCCCCCGGGCTTGACCCCCCCTCCAAAAACAAAAAACACAACAAAAAGAAGGCCCAGTACATAAAGCCCCCCTTCCCCCTATGAAAGAATACTTAACATGGTGTCCCAATTCCCCTAACCCCCCGATGCTAAACTAGAACTAGGCCTGTACTAGGCCAATAACAACCAAGTGCCATCAAAGCTTCAAGCAAAGGCAAGCAAGTGTTGGAATCTGGAAGAACACGGAAAACAAACACTCACACGTTGATCATCTCTTTGAGCCGTGCTTGCTTCCTCAGAGCACAGCGGCGATGTCAGACAAGGCTCAACACGCTCAACGAAATCTGCGTGCCTCCTCCCTTCCCTGACTCCCCGTCCTTCGCAGATAATCCTCAAAGGGGCCCTCGATGGCCCACTCGATCTCCTCTCTCTCCCATCAAGGCGTGACATGCAAATCACAGACTATACGGGATTGGCACATCGCTGAATATGCATGGCTGTACGCAAGTGCCGTGCTAGCATCGTACACATCAATTTAGGCCCCTTGTCAGCAAATGATGGGTTGAGACCTCGCTTTGCGGCAAGTGCCTGAGGATCCCAGTGCATTCTGAATTTGTCAGACTAGGTGGGTATATAACGTGCCCTCGTGCTCTGAGTCAATCAGTTGTCTGGGAATCTGGGCATGTGTTCCTCTCCTCAAAAGATTCGCCATGGCTACCCCATACCGAAACCGAATGAGCAGCGGAAACTGGAAGACTGTCATGTGCATTGAAACCAGGTGGTTGAGCCGTTGTCCTATTGGGGAAAAGGAAGAGAAAGCCGTAAGCTACGTTTTCTGCGAGCACAAAGAATACATGTCTGGTTAAAGGCCCACCAAAGTGAGATACCGGAGGGCACAGCACCGTCATGACACCTACAGTACAAGGCTGCTGCGCAACCAACAAATCAAGCTCCACCAACCCCCTGAAGAGAGGAAACAAAGGCGCATCCCTGTTCCCAATATATCTGGATGAATCATAATCAGTCATTAGCCTCAAGAAAGGGACCCCGATCAAGTGCACCTTTATCGTGGGAGCGGTCGCAAAACAAAGTCCCTTTGTGAGATCAATACCATATGTGCGCACATATGCCTAGTTCAACCAACCACCACAAACATCGGCAACATTGTCTCACCATGATACTACACATCCTTGCTCCCAAAAACAATCTGGGCAAACTACTACTACAAAAATACAAACCGGAGACAAGGTCCCTTGCAGGTGAGGAACCTTCATCATGGCGTGAGCTCGACGTACCCTCATGCGAGCTCGATACAATCTGAAAGGATTGCTTGTCTCAAAGATTAGAAAATTTCCCATAGGAAATAGGGCACCCTTTGTTTGTTGTTAGTGTTTCAAGGGGTCCCCCCCGGCCAAACAAAAAGAAACAAGCCCAGGCACAGAAGCAGGGTGCCCCAAACGACAGTCTGTCAAACTCAGCTTCATAGAAATATATATATATATATGTATGCATATATCTGATATATAGTCATTCTCGTTTTATGGAATTTGATCGGCCCAGCCGGCCCTGTCTCAGGTGTCTGCCCCACCTCACGGCGCTTGGCCAGCTCGGCCACCGCCTGTGCGCGCAGCACCTGGAAGCCGACGCCGGGGTGTGGATCCACCATTCGCTTAGACACTAAGTGAGGGGCCAAACCATCACAATTTGACACTGGAATCTCTCAGCATTCCCAAGGGCCCATTCTCCCATGAAGCAATTAAATGATTTGGTTCGTCCCCACAAAGGCGGGGGCTCCCGGGAATTGGCCAGCTCCCGCCTGGCTGCGGGTGTCCTCCTCCGCCGTTGAGCGCTGGGACTTGGCGGTGGCTACTTCACCTGCGAGGAAAAGGCGCCAAGGAAAGGCCATGGAAAGAAACCCACGAAATGGGCGTGGCTCAAAACTAAAGAGCTAGGGTTCCGCAAATGATAGTATGATAGTCTGTGGTTCCATTCACCAAGGTGCCATGTTGGTACATGTTTTTTTTGCCACCGCCAAATCTGCAAGAATCCAAACCCATGTTTGGTTTCCCCTGAATGAGGTTGGGCGATTCAAGCCGGACCCCTTGTCTATACAGGGCGCCAGGACAAGTGGGCTCCACTGGCTTTGTCTTGAGTCTTGGGGAACAAAATCATGGGCCCTGGTTTCCCTTGCAATGCCCCCGTGCGCTTCGCTTGGCCTGAAAGTTTCCTTTTCAACATGGGCACGCGAAACAAATCACACAAGCAGGTGGTTTGGAGAGAGGTGAAGTTGGAGAGGACAGTGAGGGAGATGCCCACTGAATGAAACTCACCTGCAAGCCTTCTTTGTTCTTTGACAAACCTATGGCCAAAGGGACTAGGCTGAACGTATCAGGCAAGTGAACCATCATTGGACAGGCTCCCCCTTCAAACAGGCAATCTTCATGCACTTGCGCTGCAACCTTCGGGCCTCTTTGGATTACTTTGCTTTTAAGACAAGGTTTGCGCCACACAAATGCCGTTTAACTTCATTCAAGGGAATTCTGAATAGTGAATGATAGGCACTAGGTACACAGATCTGAACACAGTGAGGCCGTCAACACAAGGTACTTGTCTGCCCCAAGTCCTCCCGTAGTCTTTGGCAGTCTTCCTGCAATCAGTCCCCCAGTCATAGTCATGCCGCAATCCCCCGTAGTGTGAGCTCCACATTTCCGGCAGTGTCACCTCCCACGTCCGGCAGTTTACCCTTTAAATTTGGCACCGCTCCGTCCCTCGACATCCCGGCTCAGCAGCAGCTTTTCTTTTCTATCTGTATGGTGCTCGAAAAAGCGCAGAAAACGATGTCTCTTTCTACGAGTGATGGAATGCAGGCACATGGAGTTTCTTTTGTGGCCACGCGTGTCATCGCTATCGTTGCACTATGATTATCATATCCAACCAAAGACCTGTCCTACGTTCAGCTGCATCCCACCGGGCTCTGTACAGAAGGGCAAGATCTTGATAGTCTTGACCGCCCAAAATCCAGCCCCACGCCTGTTCCGTAATGCCGCATGCCAAACAGGCAGCTTCGGCGCAAATCAATATGGCTGCCAAGTGGTTGCGAAAGAGGAAGATGCGGGGGGAAAATAAAATCCCCCCCCAAAAAAAAAAACGGCGGTCACTTTCAAGACTGCATGTATCAAAACATGGGTTCAGGTGCAAATGTTTCAACCTTACTGCTCACCCACACTTATGATCTAGAAACCGTTGCGCCAAAGGCGGCAACTCGGGGTTTCTCAGGCGGCCCGCTGCTGGAAGCCGCAGGCAGCAGTGGTTTGCACTGCCTGCCCGTCGGGGATGGCCGACTTCTGCAGGTCCGACAAAAAGGAGACGTCTTCCGAGCAGTAAGGCAGCGGCCTGATCTCGGCAGAAGCTACCGAAAACCCTGTTTATTCCCAGACAGACTAACATGGAACCCAACAAAATCCATTGCTTCTAGACAAAGATCCGTCTGGGGAAAGGACTCCGCTTGGGGTTCCATGCTACTCTGCAAAAGAGTAAGCAACTGTTCATCAGCAACACAAGTGTTCAAACCAGCCGCGCAGAACCCCCAAATTGGCTAAATATGTCATGGAAAGGAGCTCTCACACAGGCATCGCGATCCGAATTCCTCCCTGCCTTGGCCGATCCTTCGTGACGAAGTCAAAGACATCCCGAAACTGCGCCGGCGAAAGTGGGATTGGGCAATCAAAGTGGGCAGAGACCACACGGACAAAGTTCCAGGAAGCGATCCTGTCCTTGGTTGCACGGCTCGGATTCTCTAGCTCATGTACCGCGATCAAGCTCACGACAAAGGTCATGCCTCTATGCCTCTATGAGGATCTATTGCCTTGTACTTGCATTACAACGGCTAAGCATATCTCTACCCACCCACCACATGGCTGCGACACAAATCCACCAGTGCCTTGGGCGGAAGCTTGAGCCTGCCTGTCTTGACTCCGAAGCAGCCCAAAACTCCAGTAATTCAGTTAACTTCAATTCTCTCAAGCTTTGTCAGTTAACCCGGTGTGCGTGCGCCTGGCGGGGAAACCTTGATTCGAAATCAGTGAAGTATCTGGTGCATGCTCTCCGTGTTCAAGGTGCTTTTCCAACCATTTGAAGCAAAATGGTTCAAGGAAAGAAAACGCCCCACCCCTACTACTTTCGATTGCATACCTTGTCTACGAACAATCATAGACGCTGAGGAAAAGATGTGACAATACGACGTCCTCAACACTCCGGACAACTTCGAGCCAGTGCAGTGATTTGTGGGTCTGTTGTGCACATACATATGTGTATATTGTAATTGACAATCGATATGTAACATAGGCTATGCATTAAACTACTTGCTCCAGGCATCATAGTGCGTATATACAACACAATATGTACATTCATGAATATGTACACAACTAATAAGGCATGTACGTATTCATGATACGCATACATAAAACACAAGTTGCAGTAGACTGATGTCCTGTTGGTTTCCTTTTCAATCCGAACAAGGCGCCCCTTATTTTCAGAAGTACTTTGTGTGTGTGTGTGTGTCGACATTACTTTAATGCTGGCAGAGATCCACATAAGCCCCGTCTTCTCCGGCTGCTGCTTCAGAATCAGCTCCTCCGGCCCAAAGCCCAGTCGACGGGGTGCTGAGTGTGCAGAGTTAGGAGCCCCTGCGAAGCCTTGACATCCCAAATGCTCAATGCCCTTCAGGAAGCGTTTAGAACCATTACCATACCATTCCAAACCAGTGGTTTATCACCCAGGCCCACCCCCACCGCCCCAAAAGGCCATGAAGCCAGATGGGGTGTGTAACCATGAAGCCTGTCACCCAGGCCCAACCCACCCCCACCTCCCGCAGAAAAGCGCGCTGCTAAGGTTCGCAATATTCCCTCGGGTCTTTAACAGCGCTGGTAACATAAACCAACCAACCAACCAACCAACCAAGCAAGCAGACAGACAGACAGACAGACAGACAGACAAAATTATCGACAAACATAAACAAACAGAAACAAACAGAAACAAACAGAAACAAACAAACAAACAAACAAACAAAACAAACAAACAAAACAAACAAACAAACAAACACAACCACACAAACACACCAAAGAACAGACACACCAAAGAACAAACACAAGCAAGCAAGCAAGCAAGCAAGCAAGCAAGCAAGCAAGCAAGCAAGCAAGCAAGCAAGCAAGCAAGCAAGCAAGCAAGCAAGCAAGCAAGCAAGCAAGCAAGCAAGCAAGCAAGCAAGCAAGCAAGCAAGCAAGCAAGCAAGCAAGCAAGCAAGCAAGCAAGCAAGCAAGCAAGCAAGCAAGCAAGCAAGCAAGCAAGCAAGCAAGCAAGCAAGCAAGCAAGAAAGCAGCCAAACCAAACCAAACCAAACCAAACCAAACAAGAAAAGAATGCCGGCACTTGCTGAGAATCCCTGCAATCAGGATAATGCTGAGTTGGCCACTGGAAAGCTAGCACGCGCCCAAAGAGCCAAGAGTGCGGGCCAACTACAAGAGACAGAAACGAGCCAGAAAGCTGGAAGGAAACAAATTAGAAGCAAACAAAAATGAGATAGCAACAGGAATGGAAGAACCACCCACGAGAAAGCACTTGGCAATCGATATGGGAATATCAGGATCCAGCAGGCCCAATTCGGAAAGGTTGCAGCCAGGTGATCGGCTTCACGTTGGCTTCGCTTTCTGACCTTTGGGGAGCTTAAGGTGACCTTGAACATGCAGCACTCCCATTTGGCAAACCCAGCGTCTCTGAATGGGGCCAACCAACAGGAGTCCCTGGTTTTGACACATGGGTGTTTCCCAAAACACCCATGTACCTGAGGATGAGTGGTTTGCTGTGCTGGCTTTGGGCGCCCCAAAAGGTTCCCCATTTCGAGAAAAATCCACAAGCCCTGCTAGAATCCTCCAGGTTTACCCAGAACCCCGAGCGACTGACACGTGGACTCGCGCGGTCCCGGATGATGGGCGCCACGAGCGGCCGGCCATTCTGCCGCAGTCGTCGGAAGCTCTCCTAAAGGAGGCAGCTCATGACTCTTTGGTGTTTCTATCGCAAGGCCTTCAACGAAATGTTGGGATCCCACCACCCAGTCCCCCTGGTTTTGGCTGCTTTCCGAAAGTGGCCGCATATCACAAGCTTTCCCCTCAGTTGAATTAATCTCAGCCTACGTAACATTGCCCAATATGAACCGAGTGTGGCTGACATGTTGATTCATTATTCCACAGGCCTTCCAAATAAAGAAGGCAACACAAATGGTGAAGGGACATTCGAGAAATACTTTTTTACGGTGTGACAAACAAGGAAGACACCAGTTGTGAACAGCCCTGACCCTTCAAAACCCAGTGGGGAACATACAAATCACCTGAAGGCAAAGGGAAGGAGATCTCAGCCAGGTTCCTCCTGGATCTCCCGTGGCTGCAACGGCAATAGATTGAAACATCCAGCCCAAGCCTGCTGTATCTTAATTAACAAGTAGGGCTAGAACCGTCATTGTCTTAGCTTCATGTAGGCCCTAGAACAGCCACTGGTCGGCTCTTGGACTCTTGGATGCTTCAGCCAACCTTCGCATACTTCGCGAATCGGCACAAAAAGATGTCACCTTTGAGGATTCCTCTCCTGGGTGCCTTTGACTGTTGTGTCGCTGCAGTCACTCATACAGCCGCGTCTTTGATGTCCCAATCAAACTTGTTGACTGTGGAGCAAGGGCCTAATCCTCTCCCCCCCACCTCCAACTGTGGGTAAACCTGACCCTAGATCAACACAACGCATGTCTCAAGACCGGGAATCGTTTTTGGAACCATGTTGAAAAGAAACCACCGTGAGACCATTTGGAGAGCTTCAGCTCGGCTTGGCCCGTTCACAACCTGCCCACTTAAACCCCAACCCATCTGGCCTGCAAGGTAAATTTGATTCGGTTTCTTGTTTCCTGTGGTGTGTTTGTAGTTCTTCCTTCCTGTGCCTGTTCGTATTATCTCTTGTACGTTGTGTCTGTGGTTTCTTGTTTGCCGTATCCTTGCTTCAACGCAAAAATGGTCATACGAACATTGACAGCAGTAATGAGCTTGGACATCATTTGGAAACGAACATTATAAAGGCGATTGGACCTCCTTCCAAGAACATGATTCCCTCCTTCAGAGAAAAGTTTGATGTCTTCCTGCCAATCTACCCGGCTCCACTCCTCCCAGCCCGGCTGCCATTGCCAGGGCCGCGTGGCATCTGCCTGTGGTTTCGGCCGGGATCGGCGCAACGCGGTGGAACCTGTGGGACATGCGAGGAACATGTGCGTGCGAGGGGTGGAACCTGAGGGAAAACGCGGAATTTGTTTTGATTGTGCTTTCTCACGCTGTTCCGTTTCGGGCCTTTGTTGTTTGTTTTAAGGGTATCGTTTTGTTTGAGATTACCCATTTGCAGGTGGAAGACACGGCAAGTCTCGCAAAATAGGGAAATCCATGGATAGCTTCAAGAGGATGCCTTCAGGATGCCAACCACTGACACAACCCCTCCCCCAAACCAGGAAGGGTTGAAAATGGAATATGAAACAATAACTTTGGGGCGAGGGAGGACACATCCAGCTCTTCGCGGAATGGTTGCAAGCAGCTTCAACAAGACGTGTGGGTTGCAAGGTTGACGGGCAAGAGCAAATATCATGGCATCAATTCTGATTAGTGGTTCCTCAACACAACAAAGTCATGCGTAAGACTCGGGACTAGGCATGAGTTTCAGGTGTGTTCCCCAGCCGTTCTGGTACCTGGTGCAAGCACTGCAGCACTGAATCTTGAGATCTGGGCAGTTTTTCTTACTGGCGCGAATTTTGTAACGGCATATTTCATAAATAGCAACACTGCAACTGGCATCGCGAGTGCGTTTCACAGATGTCATGCTGTCCCTGACAAAAACTCCTGATCTGTTGGCTGGATAGTGATAGGGGACTCGCTGTGAAGCCTGGCTGTACGTTATAGACCCTCGGTAACAAACCAAATAGCAGGCTTTGCAGCTCATGCTGCTTTGCGCATGAATCATGTATGCTCAGAATAACAAGTTTGTCCACTGTGCCGTAGTTCTCTTACTTGCACAGCATAAGATGCCTTGTATCCAATTCAATTCGCAGGGCAGCCCCTTGCAAGACCAGATCAAAGCAGGTACCACAGTCCTTTTGCCGAATCCTGCGTTTGGGGACTAGGGGAGCCTACATTTTCCCAATCAGGCAGTCTAAAAAAGGCCTTCTTGGACCACCAAGTTGCTCCTTTTCTTCCAGACACTTTACTCTGAAAACAGCCACAGTTCAGAGTTTGGGAAAAGAGCCCTTTGCCTCCGGCACTCGCAGCTCGCCATTGGCCAGCGCACCAGGGTTGAAGAAGGTGGCGAACCTCAGGTTAGCGGCTTGCAACGCTGAGGGAGCGTTGGAAGATGCGGGCAACTGGTAGGCCCTTGGCTTGGGCCCGAGGCATTAGCAAAATGCTTCTGCTACGGCTTCGTTCAGACCCAGGCTGTTCAGTTCCGAGGCGCCATGCTGAGTTCGCACACGTCATGTGCTTGATGGGGAGTGCAATCTGCCAACGTAGGCCCCAGTTCAGCATGAGGGTGTACCACAATAACCAGCTAGAAACCAACCAATTTGGAAGCAGCCGCATATGAAAGGGGTCATTTTGTGTCTGAAGCTCAACAAAGACCGTCGCCAGCCAACCGTCCCAACGCCAAACGGCCCCCGAAAGGCTTTTGCACCACATGTCTAGTGAATGTCATTCTAGCATATTCTACCCCAGATCCGGTGCATCGTATCTTGAAATGTTCCCACAAAGAGCGTTAGCGGGTCCCATGGTTTAGGGGCCCTTTCACATCCACCAAGCCTCCCTCTCAGAGTTGCTTCATTCCGAAGGTCACAGGGATATATCGGCTCCTCACGCTGGCCACATCAAACAGAAACCCTCAACATCCAAGTGGCAGTTTTTTATTGGAAGCTGGTCAACCTTTCGGGACACGCACTGCAACGACATGAGCTAATGACCAGCCGCATTTACAACCCAGACCTCCAGTAGCGGGAGAAAGGGTGCTCCTTTTTGTTGACCAAACCGGGAACCTCCGAAAAGTCGGGGAAACATAGGGAGGGGAGCGCCTTGCGTCTCACTTAGTCCCAGCGGCAGGGCGATGCGCGCCCAGCCCTTGCGCCGCACCTTTGCGTCTTCAATGTCCAACTCCGATCCCGCGTCACCCGCGTCACGGGCGTGGTAGGCCAGCGCCTTGCGGTACCTGAAGGTACCGCACCGCAATACGATCAGGACCCTTCAATTCGGATGGGTTTGTGGGGCATAAAACTAAATTCAACGATTGGAATGGGGTTATGGGGTACTTGCGGTATTGTTGAATCAAATTGCTTTGTGAGGGGAGAGGTCTGTTTGACTCACCTCACTCAGAAGCGCATCCCAGGGTGCCCAGGGTCTAGCAGCAGCTCAGGGGGATCCTCCGGGATGGACAGAACCGAGTCGGTGACCACCAAAGTCTTGGAGCCTTAGACGCCGAATCGTGGCCAAACAACATCCCAGATTGACAGCAGCCAGCACATAGCCATGCATGTCCAGTGGCCTGAACCAGGAACGGTGGGAAAAGAGCTGCAATCGTGTCTTGTGCAGCCAGGACCTGTTTTTGCGGGTGGCAAACGCACCAGGATGGGCCGCTGGGAAATGTGTCAATGTGGAACTGGAGTCCCTGCTGAAACGCACTGGGCGTCTTTGACTTCCTTGCCACATCTGCATCAAGTTCTGCCTTTTGAGTAGACCATGGGGAGCTCCAGTACCACCAAAGTATTTTTGTTGACTTCTGTTTTTGGACACCAAGAGAAACACAGGGTCCTGTAGCTCAAGGGACGCAGATTCAAATGCCTAATATCCCAATGCAGGCCCAAAGTCCTTCCCACTGGTGAACGTCCCAATGCCAATGCGAAGAATGTCGACCAACGCTTGGCGACATGGCACCACAACAAGGTGCTAACCTTATCCAAGTCCAAAAGGAAAATCAGGGATGCCTTTGAAGAGATCCTTCAGTTTGAGTGAGGTGGCAAACACCCTGGTGAGAGGTCGAGCGCTTCAGCTTCGGCCGCAACCCATAGCAAAGATCAGCGCCTCTCCGCGCGCCATTTTTGTCTCAGGGAGCGCATGCCCAGCGCACTCAGCTCCTCACAGTTCACAGCGGCAGAGCGAAGGTAGAGTAATAGTATGGGTTTACCGCATGTTTGTTTGTTGTACTCTTTTGTTTGGTCTCTTGTTGTCTGCTTCCTTCTTTTCTTTTGGGGAGGTCTACATCCCTTGGATGTGATAGTAAAGCAATATGCTTGTCCCGTGGATTCCCCCGAAACCAACCCGCAAAGAGACGGGGTACACCCAATTTCAAGCGCACGTCATCACCTGTTTGATTCACACACATTCCTGTTGTGCCTAAGGGCCTTCAATTGGTTGGTGGTTGAGATTCGGTGAAGGGTGATGATCGTCCATTGTTTCCTGATACGAGTACAACCTAAAACCACCAAGTAGGTGCATTCAGCCCACCTTTGCTCCTCTTTGTTCTGAAGTGCCCTCTCAAAGCAGTGGGTTGTATACAGGGCTTCGGTTTTTGCATTGATCGCATGCGCCAAAGGCGAAGGCTGCTGCCTCGACCCCCCAGACCCCGTCCTCTGCCAGCTTTGGTGTGGCCTTCACAGGCACCAGACTCGCGATTCAAAATGCGTAACATGATGTGAGGTCTGAGCCAAAGTGATTCCACCGAAAACACACAAGATGCACAAGGCTTGGGCTGGAGATACCCCTCAAAACAAGCGACATCACTAGGATAGCGGGTTCCGCCATCAAAGATAAGATGTCGGTTGGCCTTCCCATCCTTTTGGGGCTCGAGTTCGCACAAACCTCATGGCACGTGGCCAGGCCATGGGACACGCCTGCCCAGCATCCATGACTACTCCAAGCCTCAGCATGGGGCAATGTCGGTGACCGATCAAAGCTTGCCAACAATTCAAGAATCTAGAAGCTACATGAACCATACTTTTTCTGCAAGGACCACTTTGTGCTATGAACAAAAAAGGAGGCTTGCGCGGCGATAGCGCGGACCCTTGCAACCTCCTTCTCAGCCACATGTGCAGAGTGGACCACCAATGGCCGCGCTTGAATTAATGATTCGTCAACACGCCAACACCACCCTCCCGAAAATGGCTGTTTCCTCAAAACAAGACACACCCAAATGCGGCTCGCGGTTCCCAGCAGGATCCGGCATCACATCGGCGGACAGCAGGTTGAGCGCTTGCATCCAGTCCTTGCAGGTCCGTTTTGGGTATGTGTCACAATATGGCCCCAAAAAAATGGTGGTGTGCCTTTTGGGTTACCTTTAAACCCAAGAAGGGTGCCCTCCTTTCAACATTCTTTGGGGTTGGGTTGGGTTCCCTTTCAAAGTCCACGACAAAAGCACCCCACAGCCCAGGATTGCTAAGCATAGCCTAGGTAGGACAACTCCAGCAGTTGTGATGATGAGACCTAGAATACAAACTTAAAGTCTAGCATTTGCCAGGTGAACAGGAAAGCTGGTGCTTTGGCTTGTCCAAATATATTGTATTCCGAGTTACCATCGTGACGTTGTCCGCTGAACCCTGGCATCACAATCCCGTCAAAAAAGGCCTGGTTCGGAACAAAGGGCAGGGGGGTTCCACTTCGGTCCTCGTCCAAATGGTGTCTCTTCAACTTTAAGATAGGGGGAGCGGATTATAAGGGCTTCTTAGGGTTCTCAAAACCTTGCTGTGTAGGAAGGGCCCTAAACCTCTCCAAGGAGAGAGGAAGAGAGAGAGAGAGAGATTTGCAAAAACAAACTGAAGCGAACAAATCCAAGTGTGTCAAAGACCCCATCGCGGGTGTTTCCAACGGCTGGGTTCATGACCCACGGATCTGAAGGCTCCCCTTGAGACTCTCGCAGATGTCACCGTTTGGGGAGGTGCAACCAGGAAGTAGGTGCAACCTAGCATCCGCCAAAACGACATGCTCATGACAGATAGTTTGCAACCTGTTCCCTCATAGGAACCAAGCCAAAAGTATATTGGAGGGAGCGAGCAGGAAATGCAAATTGCAACCATACCAGTGTGTCAATGTAGCGTGCGCTCCTCGTCACCACCATGATTGATAATTCGGTGCGTAAGCTTGAGCATCTCCAAATAAATTAAACACACAAGCCTCCCGAGCTTGCTCATGCCTCCTACATGCAGCATTCTAAGTGCAAACAAGCAACAAAACAAACAAACAAACAAACAAACAGTCAATCAAACAAACAGGCCAGCAAACAAACAAGCGAACCAACACGAGCTCGCGGATCAAGTGTTGCTCACTCGTTTAGCCCTGGCTGCTTCAGGTTCTGCAAGAGTGACCCAGGACAATGAACACCTGGTTTGCCAACAGGGCAAGCAAGCAATTGGGAGGGAGCCACGACAACACAACAATGAGTGGCCATGGGTCAAAATCCCGACACCCAGTGAACATCCCCACTAAAAAAGACTACACTGGTGGTTCACCTACCCCAAAATGGTACTATTGGTTTTGACCCACAGCCAAGTGATTTCACGCCTGGACTCCACTTGGGGCTTGGCCAGGGCTCCGCTTCCGTCGCCATGGGCAGCCAGCGCAGCTGTTGGCGCCACCCGTCGCGCGCCAACCTCCTCGAGGGTGAGCCCAGCGCGGCGGTGACGCGGTTCCCACGAACCCCGCAGCGCCAGAGGTTCGTCAGCCTGAAAGGCTGGGTGTAGATGCATGCAAATGGGCTTTGATTCGACATGTTATTTGTTTGCTTGTCTATAACATGCCAATTATTTGCTCTGATTTATTTGCCTTCTTTGGATAATGTGTTTATCCGTTTGAATGAGGGGGGCCGTCCACCGCAAAAGCCTCCTTCCTCCCTACGTCAGCATTTGCCAATTGCCCAAAGTGAAATGTTGTCAATTGTGTTTGGTGAGAGGTGCCGGTGTCCTTAAATTGAAGGCCCAAATATATGGGGTGTTTCTTCGGAACCGTCTCCCCTTTAAAACATCACCCTTCGACAAGGAGACTCATTTTGTGCCAACTTGTTGATGTCTAAACCACTAAATTTGAGGGAACCCAGTTAACCTGGCTCAAAGGGAAAGCAACAGGCAACCACATTTTTGGGGTCTCCCTTGTTGCACACAAACCCACAAGTAAAGGATTCCCTCCTAAAATGGGACCCCCCCCCAAAAAGAAAACAATCGAATCTTGGGTCCAGAAATCAGGGCCTTCGATAAAACGATGTGTGAAACTAGGATCCCGAAACCGGTGGCTTTGCTGGTGTTGTTTCCCGTGTCCCACCCGTCAAAGGCTATCCATACCCTCCAATCAGGCCCCCATCCGTAGCAACCGGTGTCCCTTTGTCCCAAAGGAAGGGTATCCAAAATAACAACCGAGTCGCAGGTCCAGGGCGTTGCGCCAGCGCTTGCCCAGTGCGCAGGCCTTCAGGGCGGCGTTGCTGGCGCCCAGGTAGCCTCGCTGGCCGCCCGCTGCGGAGAGTCAGAGGCAGAGCTTGGGATCCAAAAACGCTTCCCCCATTTCCTCGACATAGGTTGCATGGAACCTAGTTTCCACATACGACCTGAATGAGGCCTTCCTAGGGTCTATACTTGGGGGAAACACGGGGAAACTGGGGAGAAAATGGACACTGCGTGGGTTGTCCAGAGGCGACCCCCCTTGAAAATTGGATGGTTTCTTCCAGTTAAGGCGGTTCAGACATGTCAGCATGATCCGAAAGGCAGTTCCCAGTTGAGTTGGTTGATTCCTTCGGGACGAGTCGCATTCTGCGCCCAGCACCGCGCAGCTTTGGCCGCGACGTACGCGCACGTCAAGGTCCCAGCAGAGCTGGCGCCTGAACGCGTTGACGTGGGAGCCATGGGGACCACCCTCAATGAGTGGTTCTTCATTGGTTTCCTTTGAATTCCTTTGAAACCCCATGGGTACCCTCAAAGATGACACATTTAAGTCACCAATGCGTGGCCCGATTTCGTTTGACAGAGCCCCTTTTGGGGGGAGTTACATGTATATATTGAGAGATATGTCTCTCAAAAAAACAGGAGAAACACCATGGCCTGATGGACCCTTCATCTTCTAGGGAGATATACTATCTGTGGTCATGGCGTGAGGTTGATACAGTGCAGCCCCAGAATGACAACTAGACAGAGACCAGAGCAAGAGACGACATGCCGAGCCGCCGCTTAGATGTTGGCCACTGGCAACGAAAAGACTAGTCCCGGGCATGGGCCAATCCATAAGGGAATTACCCTGGTCTTGAAGCAGCGACCATCCAAATGGTCGAAATCACCTGACGATGGCATGTGTGCAAGTATACGTGTACAACCATGCCGTCACAGCTTCGTGTTGAACTAGGGATGGGTTGCCTTCCAAGAAAATGTTCACGAGAAGCAGACCAGCTGATTCCCATAGCAATCCCCATCTGCACTACTTGTGTTCGCTGGTCCTGCCCCAGGAAAGCCTCGCTCTCACCTCCGCCCGGACCAGAGAGTGCCTGAGCTGTGTGACGAGGCCCATGGCTGTCCGCCAACTCTTCCTCACTTGCCGGGTTGAGAACCAGAAATTGTCCTTCCCAAAATAGGGTACACACCCAAAAAGAAGTGACCATCCAAAGAGGAGGGGAGTCCCCTGTTTTTGGTACACCGAAATTAACTGAAGATTGCTCTGCAAACGAAAGAAGAAACAAGAAGAGGTCAAAAGGATCAAACATGGTCAGGATTCAACAAGCCTACTTGCCCGGACCTGAGAGAAGGGGGCACCCACGTTTTGTTAAACAAATGTCTCATCAAGCTCAAACGATGTCTCACAGGATCTCGACCTTTTGCAATAGTGGCTATAGTCCCAATTTCCCGAGCAGGGTACTGCGAGTAGTGGAAACATATGTTGCGCTGTTACGCCCTGCCACTTTGACTGACCAACCGTGCCGTTAAGAAAGCTTTTGGAAGGGTTTTGAGAATCTGCATGTCACAAAGGGTCTAGAATTTCACATGCAAGATCGCCCCCATCTCCTTTGGCATCTTCTCGGAAAAAACAGAACAATTCGATGTAGTACCCATGAACATTTTTTGGGGGGGCTCCCAATCTGGAGGACGGGGCTGTTGTGGAAACCCGCCCTTTCTGTGACACCAATATAGGTCATTCCCCTGCCGACTTTCTCACTTTTCCGGAGATTCTCGTGGTATCACAAACAACTAGCCCCAAAACCAAGTGTTCCACATGAGCCACAAGTGCCAACAAGCCATATTGCCAACCCAGAACCCCCCCTTTCCATTTTCCCCCTTTCCACAACCCTCGCAGTCCGTGTCCTTGCCGCAAACACGGCGGCGCTCCAGGAGGCCGCGTCCGGCTGCCAGGCGCCGCGCCGCAGATCCGCCAGCAGGCGAAGCGCCTGGAGTCGAGGTGTGGGCACCTTCGCGGACAAGGAGTTTATGGGTTTCAGGGGCCGGTAAAAAATCTCAAGGAACGTCAATCTTTTAACACAATCAGTTGGCATGAAGGGTGATCTTTAGCAGACCAAAGGGTTGCGGGAATTGGGAACTGCCTTTTACCACTCTCAGCATAGGGAAGGCCTTCCCATTCTTGACCAAAAATGGCCTCGTGATCTCACAAAAGTCAACCCTCAATGTAGGCCTTAGGGAGCTGACGCCGTCGGCCAAGCTCGGCGGAGGGGTCTGTGGATTTGGGGCGAAGTTGGAGTTGCGTGAAGGCAATGCTACACGTCGATGCGCTCTGGGCAATTGCAGTGGCCCTGGTAGAAAAGCAAACTAAGCCTCTTGGGTTGACCATTGTCACACGGAAAATGAGGAACACATATTGACCATTCTGTTTATAGCGGGCTGACCAAAGTTGGAAATCGGGTGCCGCTGAACTCAGCTCGAGCCTTGCCGGGCAGGCTGCAGCTGGCACACGCGTTGATGGCGCTATTGAAGACCAGAAGACTCCTCGCTATGACCCACTGCACGATTTGGGATCCTGTGAAACACGTCAACCCTCCCAAAAAGGCCACTGGCGTGCTTTCGTTTCCCTCAAGCCAACCCCTCAAAACCAGACACGCCCATATTGCTTGTTCCCCGCATGGACAAAGTGGGTCCAAGTTCTTACCGTTGTCAATAAACATCACACAAGGAATCTTGGAAAACATGGTTACATCCAGTTGAAATCCAGGGTCAGACATCAATATCTGTGCGCCAAAAAATGGACTCATTTGTCCCAAGGGACCTCAAAAGCAACCGCAAGTTTTGCTTTGGGAACCTTGACCACACATGGGCCCAACATGCAAAAACAATCGGCCAAATCAGGCCGATTCGCTGAGCGGTGCGAAAACTCGACCAGAAACCCAGGGCAAGACCATCAACTGCAAACAAGTCCACTGTTTGCTGATTGGAAAACAGAGGAACACCGAAATGGAGTCAAACCAGTCGGATGCGTCGAAAAGGTAGCCTTGGCCTGGCAGAAAGCTGTGGGTATGAATGGCTAAGATAGTCCTTTCGGCTTCCACAAACTTCGCCTGTGGGCCACCCGGGTTCGGGGTGCCGTCCGGTTGCCGTGGGCCCATCCTCCGCTGGAAGCAGAGCGCCAGGTCCCAGTGCCCCACGCGCCCCAGGCGCCGCACCGCCGCCTGAGTTTCTTCGGCTCCGACCCAAAGGTCCGGGGGGCGGACTTGGGACTTTGGTGGGGGTGTTTCTCGGAGGAACCCCAAAGGCGCTTCCTTTTGCCTTGTCAAAACTATAGAGGCGGTCCGTGTTGAGAAACCCTCCAATGAGCCGTGGGCAGCATACTGAAATCGGATGTTAGTTCCGCCCTTTGAAGGTGACTAGGGTCCGGTTGTTGAAACATTGGTATGAACATAAGGGGCAACCATGGCAAGATGTCCTAAGAGAACCATGACCATGGCCAAAGGCAGGTTGTGTAGCTTAATGTTGGCTTGGTCCTACTGCGGCTGGATTTGGGGACGGAGGGGAGATCGCTAAAAAAGTATTGGGTTAGCATTGGCGTATTCAACATTAGGCATTGTGGAATGATGTGGGCTCTGCAATTTCCGGGAAACCATTCTTTAAATTTGAGGACCCTTTATTGCTAGGGAGAAGGGACTATCTCAAGGAACCATCACCCGGTAGTTTGCGATACAAGTCGGTATTGCACCCCACGGCTGCAGCAGGTTGAACAAGGACACGTCATGATCCAAACCATTTGTTGCCGTGTGTTATTCAAAACCCTGCGGTTCTGTCACAGAAATCAGCAAATCAGGCTGTATCCATCAAACATCAATCCTGCAGAACCAGTCAACCTGCTGGACAACTGAAGGCGACGCACATAGTGAAGGCTTGCCTCTAAAGTGGCACCGCCCAAGGAATGGGACAAGACATGACAAGACTATCGGTATTCGCCAAAGCCATCCCTTCGGAACCGGCCCGGCAACCTCTGACAGATGACAAGCCGCGCGGCCCCGGTCATGGTGCCTGCAGGCTCGACCTGACATTTTTGGCTTGTTGCCAAAGTGGAATCGCCTCCAAACCAAGTTTCCCACAAACATGAGCCAAAACGCCAATAAGCCACGCGCCAACAGCCAGACAGGGCCTCGTTGGGCATTTTCTGCTGAATTGGCATTGAATCCAAACGGAGCAGGACACATGCCACTAAATAATTGGGGGCAAATACCTAAATCTCAGCTCAAACGAAACGTCCAAACAGCCACGACTGCCACTTTGAACCGAAGCAATCCAATGGACGTTCTCTGGCTTGTTCAAAAATGGGGGGGCACCCCTGGCAGTCTTCTACAACTAATCACACCAGCCTCGCAAATTGATTCTATACGGATTAACATGGGCATGTGTAAAAAAATGGGACGCTACAAATGGTGCTTTCTCGATTGGGTTCCCTTTGAATCAGCGCGAACGGGCTACACTCAAAAACACACACACACACACCCATTTTGAAGAACCTTCACTCTCTCGCCCGCCTGGTGTTTGGCCAGGTGCAGCAGGAGTCGCCAAGGCCTATCGGTTCGACAAGAAATCCAAAGCTGCGTGGAGCTTTGTAGCGGTAACTCCCCCAGCAATTCCAAGGCTGAATGCAAAGAAATGTCTTGCTCCGGACATGGATTCATTCGAGGCAATCGAAATGCCGTGCAATGATTGGGGAACAATCCAAGCCGCCCCCCCTTTCATTCACTAAATTGATCTCTTTCATTTGAAGAGATCTCGTTTCTTATACGCCACGCACGCACGCGCCACATTTGGTGCAATCTTCCCAACCACCCCTCCCCCACGGCCCGAACAATCCAGGAAAGGTCCTGAGAACCTTCGTAGAAGCGGGTCTAGACGAATTCTCAGAAACATTCTGGTGGGTAACCATCAATTACGCGGCAACAATGAATCACCAAGTGGACAACCCTCATCCTTGAGAAGTGATCTTGTTTTGCCCCCAAGCTCGCTATTTGTGCAGAATATTGCATCCGAATTCCCGGCGCACCTGTTCGGCCCTAGAGCTGGCGTTGCTGCACGCCCTGGCGGCGACAAGGGCCACAACCCCAGTGGGGCTGCAAACAGGACCTTGTTGGGGGCTCCTCAAAGGCACGCTACATGCTTGAGTACCCAAAACGGGCGCATTGCTTTTGGAAGCCCTCCAACTCACAAGTAGGCCACTACGGCTTCGGCCGTGCTCACGCGTGCAACAGAGCATGCGGCATGCTGGAGTCGCCTGGGCTGGGCATTGTCAGAAACTCGTTGTAGAGCTGCACACTGTGTCGTGACCAAGCAACATGGCGGGGAGGCGAAGATAGCAAACTCTAATACACACAGGGTGTCTGATGCTACATTTGTGGCATAGCGCCAGGGTCTCTGCATGCACACGCTAAAACACCAACCGAACGCGAATATGATGCGGGTGAGCTAGCTGTACTTTGCAGCGACTCTGCCGCAAGGGCTCCGGGTGTTGATATCCATCTCCATCTTACTTTGAAGTCGACAAGGCTCTGGCGGGCACGGGCTGCGGACAAACCTCTTGCAAATCTGCCTGCCATGCCACAAGATTACTCCACTTGCAACATGCCAAGTTACAACCAGGCTCAGGTCGAATTGAGCTGTACCTACACCCGTTAACCATTGAATCCTTATACCATTCACCAAATTGTGGTCACGCATCTTGAAGCGCCTAGCCGGCACCAGCACCATCCGTGCAATTTTCCCGTCCGCCAGCTTCCCGGTCAGCTCCACAGCGCGGAAATGACTTGAGGAAGGCCAGCAACTGCCAAGCCGGAAGCACCAAATCAGCTTCGCTGGACGCTTCCAGGCTGGTCGCTAGATTCAACGCCCCAACAAAGAGGAATCTCTGCCTGCTGTACATGGGTTCTACACCTTCGCCTCACGTATGCCTAAACCGGAGCTCATTTTAATGAGCTTTGTGATCTGCTCCTTCAGCTGCTGCACTTCCAACTCCATGTGGGTCTGAAACCTGCCATGGTTCCTGACTAGCCAGGATTGGTCATGCATGATCTTCGCGAGGTCAATGGACTTTGCATTCCCCCGGAGACGCAGGCATCCGTTGAAAAACTCCTCGACGCTAATTGAGCCACCGGCATCCAAATCCAGCAGATTAAATAGAGTCCAGGCATCCAACACATCCAGGCCGATGGTTTCGAAATACTCGCGCACTGCTTGGCTATTAATCCCCTCCTCGAAGTTTGCATATGTGATGACGCCCATGTCGCCACCGCCTGTCCGACTTCCCGAACAACGAAGTAAGGAATGCCCTCAGTTTCGCCCAAAAACGTTGCGCCGCTTTGGCAAACAACTTTGACGGTAAGCGTTTGTGCTCGCGCTCTGCAAGCCACAATGAGACCCGCCTAGCTTCTCGAAAAGAGCCCGGATCTTTCTCAAGTGCACCTCCTTGTGAGCCATCACAGTCTGCACTGCTACTGCGTGATCGTTCTGGGCGCTCTCAATCGCTGACTCGCAGAAAACCGCAGTTATTACCTGTTTTGTGCGCTTGGGCGGACTTTGGAGGCGACCAAACAAGTGCATGAATATGTTCCACAAACAACGCACAAAAACAAAAAGAAGACTGACGACGACTACGACCACACAACGACGATAGCAGACGATAGCGACAAACCCACCAATAAACAAACAAACCGAACAAACAAAACACCAAATAATCAACAACATCACCTGCAAACAAGCAAACAAACACACAAAGAACGAAACAAACAAACAAAAAAACAAACAAGCAAACAAACAAACAAACAAACAAACAAACAACCAACCAAACAAACAAACAAACAAACAAACAAACAAACAAACAAACAACAGCAGCAAAAATAGTGCAAAACATACTATGCAGCTTGGTCGCATTAAGCACCGCAAAATACACAAAAGCTATGTAAAAAACGTAAATAATTGTCCATAACACGGAGATCACCTTCAATGGCGCGATCACGTCCTCCCAGCTGACGCCGCCACAAATGCTCATGAATAAGCTGAGCATCGTGTCGAATAAGGAGCCATAGTAGTTATGCGCAGCCATCAACTCCTGCCGCAAAGCGCAGGAACCGTTTCCAGATCTGCACCGGATTCGAGGGTTCCCGAATCCCGGCGGTGGCCCTGTAAGAAAATAAAGCAGCACGACCGGCTTCTTCTGAAATCAACGCGCGCTAAGCGGGGGCCACTAGAAGTTTGGCGCAAGCTGAGGTCTTGTGTGACTTTTAAGCAAGTGCGCACCTCTGGTTTCCACTGTTGGGGCGTTTTTCGACTTCTGCATCCCCAGGCCAGCCAATAATCCGAGAGCGACAGCCGTGCGACCAGCAAAGCGGGTGAAACCGTTGCGAGCAAAATTCGGTTTGGGACACGCTCCGCCCATATTGCAAAAGAGATGACTGGCTGCGGTTTTGCCCGCCTGCGATCTAGATAGCTAGCGAGTCAGCTCATTTACTATTGACCTAGGGCAACCATCAGCAAGCGCGCAACTGAGTTGCTTGTTTAGCCTGTTGCCGAAGTCATCGTCAGAAAGGTGGATAACTAGCTACTTGGGAGCAAGTCAGCGCGCCGCGTTGCTACGCAGCTCGCTTTTTGGCCAGTGGCGTTTTGCCCGTGGCCTCTGGAGCTGCCATTGATGCGCAGCAGGCTTGCTGTCATTTAAGCCGCTGATTGACTCGCAGACTCGCAAATGCGGATTGACAACTGTGTGATACGGCGCAGAGAACTTGTCAGACTTGCGCCGAGCCCGCGCAGCACGCTGAAGAGGTCTTGGGCCCAAGATGGGGTGACGTGCTACGCTGAGTATAGGTTTGCTTTGTTTGGGCCTCTGCTGAAAAGTTTGCCTTGATAGCGCGGTGCAGCGGGGGGGATTGGGCTCAGGGAACTACCTGGCGCGAAAATGGTCAGCAAGCCGCGCCCGCTCAGGCTGCCTCTTGCAAGTCGGTAGCCGCAGCTCGGCAATGAGCATTGGCAAAGAAGCTTTGGCAACTGCGCTCTGAATTCTGAGTACCCACAGACGGGCGCGATCCTGTACAGAGTTTACTAATCTTGTCTAGCGCGTTGAGGCGGGGCGCATAAAGAGGTTGACTGTCTCTATGCTATGGCCGGCGTCCGTGTTGGAGTCCTCCACAACTCAGCCTGAACGACCTTATATCTCTGCAAGCGTCTCCAAACAAGAGCCTAGGCGACGGCCTAGGATATAGGAGCTGCAGTTGTTATCACTCGAGGGTGGGAGGTCAGGAGACGGCAGGATTTGGCAGGAGTCGAAGAGGCAGTGTTGACAGCTGAGATGCTGTGGGAAAACGCACAAGGTCAGCAGCCGTGGAAGAAACTTGGATTATTGACAATGTTGGTAATCAAACTAGAGCTTGTGTGAAGGGGGCGCTCATCGCGCAAGCTTCACGCAAGTCGTCGAGAGGCCTTTAAAAACACTCACACATCTCCATCACACGTGACGAGGCGAGCGTGGCCGCCCGGCGCGGAGAGCACGTCCGTCTTTGCGTCCGGTTTCCGCCACAGCAGCTGACTGCAGCTGCCAGGATGATCATCCTGGCAGCTAGGGCATCAACAAGCCTTGGAGCAGCGTTGAATGAAAGCGGCATTGTTAGCCTTCCCCGCGCTTGTCACAGCAAGCTCCACGGGCTGTTTTTGATCAGATGTTCACAAAGACTTGCTCCGAGAGAGCCAGGCTGACGGGAAGGGATTTTGGACTTCCCTTCTTGTTGCAATGTACGTACAAGCATGCCTCCAACAAGCCAACGCTGAGTCTTCCGAAAAACAGGACGCAGACGGCGCTGTGGATCTTTTGCAAACACCAGAAGTGCGCAATGTTGTTGTCCTCTAGCACTTAAGTCCTTGCCAGGACACTTTATGATCAACTCCCTTCTGGTTTCTTCGCTCAAGTGCCGACGCCTTGGCCTCCATGGACGGGCTGTCCGGGTCGACGAGGTGATCGTTGACTGCTTGAGTAAACAGAACTGCAAATATGTACCTGCACAAGAGTTTGCTGTTGAAGTGCAGCCATGGGCAGGAACACCCCCCCCTTTCAACTCCATTACAGCACCGTCTTGATGCAAGAAGATCCTTTGAAACTACCAGAGAGCAGTCACAACTTTCCACTGAGCGACACAAACACGCACACATTAAGCAAACACTTGCCGTATCTCAATTGGGCATCATCAGGGGCTTTGGGAAAGAACCTCATGGGGATTGTCGTGAAAGAAACCGCTAGGTGTGGTTCAGTCTGGAGAACCAGCGAAACAGTTGTTGGGTGAACTTTTGGGGCACAGTAGTTTAGTTGGCTAGCCCGGATAATGGGAATCGCGCTCGGAGACCCCCAGCTTGACCACAAGGCCGAGGTACATGATGAGACCCAAAAGCACCAAAGCCCAAAAGAGCGACTTCAGCGTGCTCAAAATAGACGTCACCAGTGTTCGCAGGGCGAAGACGAAGCGGAAGATCCTGGCAAGGCCAACACGTTGAAACCACGTTGAAACCAGTGGGTTGTTGTGTCAACATAGGAGAATCACAACAATCATCAGTCTGCCTTTTGGTTTGCCTTCAACATGGGGTCAGCATGGTACCCTCAAACGAAGACACACACACACACAGTGTTGTTCGACCAGCCTCATTTGCTGACCCCTTAACTTTTACCTCAGCTTTTGCCCCCCAACTAGAAAACCTACAACACACACTGTCTGATTCTGGCCCATATTCAGCCAACCTTAAGCTATCCAAACGGCTTCAAGGCGGGCCAGGGTTTTGGCCTGGTTGTTTGACCATTTCTTGCCGCACTCTCCTCACCACACGCAGCGTCTTGACAACTCTGGCCACCCTCACCACCCGCAGCGCCCGCAGGGCGGTCGCCCCCGAGATGCCACTCTCATCTTCCATAGCGCCCACCTCGGAAAATGCTACGGGTGTGTCTCGAAATCCCCCAATGTCACCCCCCAAACAAGTATATCTCAGTTTCGCTTTTTATCTGTGGTTTCTCATGCAGTTGTTTATTTGGTGTTCTATGCAAGGACACCATCTTTTTGGGAATCCGACGCCACTTTTCAGGACGTAGCAGGGCTGCTTTGAACCCAACACGATACCTTTCCAAGAACACTTTGCAAGGGGATCCAAAGCAAACCCGGAAGGGGTGCCAATTCCATTTTGCTAGACAGCCCGGCCAACAACAAAATAAAACCACAAATGCAATTCCAGGGGTCACCGCAGTCCAAACTCCATGTTTAAAAGCGGCACACCTGTGTTTGGGTCACGTTGTGCGTCGGTGGTCTTTGAAACGGGAGCAAGCGTGGTTGAAGAGGGGAGCGAAGCAAGGATCCACAATGGACCGAAACTGGCTCACGTTTCAACAATGTCACAGGCTTTGAAACAGATCGAGGAACAGAAGCCCTCCTCGAAGCCATAAGTTTGTTAATCCTTTGAAAAAAGCCCTCCCAACAACATGATGAGCCGCCCAGACCAAGGCCAGCCAACATTTTGAAGCACTCCGACAACTAGACTACGAGCGTCCGTCCAATGTTGACAAAATGAACCCAGGAGTCAAACAGGCACAAGTGACAACAGTAAAGACTGGCATTGCCAAGGCTGACTGCGCTGGCCAACCTCCAGGGGCTCGGATTTCAAGTAAGGTCTCGTGCGGTTGCTTCCGTTTGCCGGTTACCCTAAAGAACTTAAGCCCAGGGATGGTTGATGTGGTTCCAACAGGACCCCAGGATTTATCTTACCAGTGCTCATTAGTAGGGGAGGGGCCCTTTACGGAAAACTTCAAAAGTTCCCTACCAAAGAAAACCTATAAATGGTTTCTGCGAGGTTTGCGGGGAACCCAAAGAGGAACCAAAGACACACACACACTATGAAAACTGAAACATTGGAAAGTCGGTGAGACAGGTACGCGGAGTTGATCAGACTCCGTATCAGCCGTGGCATAGCCGTCTTCGTTGGGCAACCAGCTATGCTCACGGGGTTGCCGTAAAATAAATAAATGTTGGCAGTGACGCCATGCCTCCGTGCGCACGGACGATTCACACAGACGCTGCAAAAGCGTTTTTTTTCGGTAGATCGTGGGCGTTGTCCTGGTTCAGGTGCCCCTGCACGCCAACGCCAAAGCCAAAGAAGCCGAAGGATGGGCTGAAAAATGCACTGCTCAGCCTTTGTTGTCTCACGCCGGGCTGAAGGTCGACCATGCTCTTGCTTGACAAAACATTTCATGCAAGCAGAAGTGTGACACTCAGTGCGACTGGGTGAGACAGACATGTCACATGCGAAACCAGGCAAAAGGGAAAGGGTCAAGGGACGAAGTTCAAGGACCCTACCCAGGTGGCGGTGAGACGAAGTGGCGACACGCGAAACGGAAGAAGTGAGACCGCAAATTCGGATGCCTAATGGCTCGACCGTGTGTCTGATGGTTTTTCCACTGGTAAGGGCGCGTTGTTGCAGCCATGGTCATGGACACGAGGTAGCGACTGAAAAGTTGTCCATCGGTGAAGCGCAGCAGCGTAAGCCAGGAGGTACTTCTCGCGAGGTAGAAGGCGTTCTTCCCGTTGCCGCTCTACGTGGCCATCGAAGAGGCGCGACTGTATTGTATCACGTAGACGTTGGCGAAGGACCACGGGTTCGCGATGAGGACACCGAGAGCGAGATCGAAGGTTCGATGAACAACTAAGAAGGTGCAGGACCAGGTCGCCGTGTGTATGAGGTCGCTGTGTGTACGGGTTGGGCCTGGTCGGTCCTTAGACGATGGCATCCTGAGTGCCATGTCAAGGTTTTCATGTCAAGGTCGTTCTAGATTCTAGACTTGGTAAACTGATCTGTCAAGGCTGCAAGGTGTGTGGATAGTGAGACTGGTGCGACGGTTCAATATGTGTTTCAAGCGAGACCGGAAAAGGAACCAGACGGAAGTTGAAGGGATGGTGATGCCGGTCAAGGGGCGTAGACCAAACCAAACCCCGCATATGATTACTGCGTCGAAATGGCTCTCGTCTGGGGTAATGCCCCCTAGGGAGGAGTCGGTAGAAGCTGTTCCACCCGTGGTGCAAGACGTTCATGATCGGAATTTGCTCGGTGCGGAGAGAGAGGCTGACTCGGTGTTGGCATCCTGTAAGGTTGCGTGGGACCGAGAGTGATGGCAAGAGCGAAGAAGTTGTCGTGGCTGTGCCGCTATCTGGGTAGAACTCCGGTTGGTGACTGCAGCGCCAGGAAAGGTGTACGACGCGATCACTGACTCCACATGTTGGGTGTGGCGTCCTGGTGTGAAAGAGGTATACTTTGGCCAATAGTCGTGGCAGCGGATGTAGGATTTGAAGAGATCATGCGCATCACTTGGCTGGTTTTGATGCCGCGTGGGAAGAAGGCACGCACGGGGACCCGACAAGGGGTGAATGCTAAATCTGCCCCTGAAGCAACCGGCAGCACTTAACGGTGATTCAGCTAAGACGTGATTTGGTGAAACGTCAAAGATCCAGCGCCCAAACGGCGCCCTGTACGAGAACGCTCTCCCCTGACAGGAGCCGGGCAAGGTAACCCGTCTAACCCGGCGCCTTGTCGGACGTGCCGAGCGGGACACACTTTGAGATGCAAGGCACTAAGCTGAAACATTGGAAAGTCGGTGAGACAGGTACGCGAAGTTGATCAGACTCCGTATCAGCCGTGGCATGGCCCTCTTCGTTGGGCAACCAGCTATGCTCACGGGGTTGCCCCCCTGCAAAATAAAGTAAACAAATGTTGGCAGTGACGCCATGCATCCGTGCACAAGGAGGTTTCACACACACACAACCCACCTGTGCAGTTTTCCTGCTGAGGCACAAGGTCCGTAATCACCTCATACGCGGAGGACATCACGATGAAGAAATCGAACCAGGCCCAGGACCAGTCCTGGCCGAAAATGCAGCTTCCTGGTTGATGGCTTGGTGGTTGCGGGGGTGGTTTCCTGGTTCAAATCCCCAAACGAGAATGGGGAAGCAACTGACAAAGCTTCCTCACCAAAAGCAATGTGAAGTTTCGACACACGCCAGCATTCCACGCCGTCCTTTTTCACTGCCAACTCTGCGGCATGTTGGTCTTAGAATGGGCAACCACTCAAATGAGAGTGTCTCAAAAAAAAGGGGGACCCCGGCTTCCTTTGGGCTTGCATTTAAGCCCCCAATGAAGAGGGTTGCCCTCCGATTGAAAGCCAAAAGCAACGGCCTCTCTCAAACGGCCGAGGCTCCTCGCCGCAGAAGAAGGAACCGCAGCCGTGGGCCAAAACGCGGAGGAGCAGCTCCACAATGAAGAAGGCCGTGTACACGTACTGCGCGACGCGCATGCCCAAGGAGCTTGGGCCTGGCGGGCTCGGCATGTGACGGGTGAAACAGGGGTCTCTAAACGTCACTCCAGAGGAAACGCGCTGAGGCTATATGTTTTCGCAGTGAAGGATATCGTCCATACAAAGTTATTCGAGGTGGAGACCGGTTCTGTTGAGCCCCCCGAAGCAAATCGAAGCGTGGTGCGGGCAAACAAGTTTTCTTCACATTCAGCCCCAGAATTCTGGAACTAATCTGAGCTCAATGCGTTGTTCAGCTGACCTCCAAACACACAAGCTTTGTCATATCCGGTGCTTGATTGTCTAACAGGCTTATCTTTGTGATACCCTTCTAAAGAGAAGAGGCCCGCCTAACAATGTTACAGCCTGTCTTGAGGCGGTCTCGCTATTTCCTAAGGAGGGTACAAATGGCAAAGGCAAGCATTCGTTGCATTCTGAGAGCGATAACATAAAGGTGGGGTCAAGAGGTCTTATGCTTGTGTGTACCGCAACCAGCGCTTTACTCGATCAAAGTCATTGTGTGGTGAGCATTTGTAGACTCGTGGACCCCCGCATTGCTACATAGCCAGCCAATACCAAGAGTTCCGACTGGGAAGCTAATAATATTGCGGCATGACCTTCAATGCCTGTGGCCGGAAATTCCCACATGATGCCGCCCGGTGTGCGAGCAGGTTCTATGCCTCTCGTTGATTTTGACCACGTGGGAAAAATAACACCCTCCGTCTTCGGTGCCTTGGGCCTAGCACGATGCTCTCTGTCTGAGCCGGGTTTCTCAAATTTTGAGGGCATTAAAAGGGCAAGACATAATGCTTGTTGTCTCACAGGGGCATTGAAAGGGTCAGCGCCCCATTGGACTGTGGCTCCCTTCACAACACTAACACATTTGGAAGGGGCGTTCGCAATGTTGATCAGTTGCCCAAACTGAGCATAGTTGTCATTGTCGCATTCCCCCTTTGGGCCCAGATCTTGTCCAAAGGGTCAGAAACACAGGTCCAGGAACCTCGTGGCCATTTCCTAGCCTTCGCTTTCCCAAAAAGCGTTCAACTTGCGGCACACATTTGATGCGTGCGGATGTCTACTCGCCGCCACAACCCGTCACCTGAGAGGCTGAGCTGGACCTCCACGCCGATGAGCACAGAGTTGGAGATCACCAGAATCGCGAAGAAGAGGTCGAAGCCGGGAAACCAGCCATTGGAGCCAGGACTCCTAGGGAGTCCAGAGAACTTGGTGAAGACAGAAGATAGGCCCTACAAATGGTGAAGATCGAGTGGAAACAAGCTGTGTAAAGAAAACCACCAAAAAGGAGCCAAAGTTGATCCCAGGACTGTGAGACACAAAAGCGAAAAGGGTTTCTATTGCCATCAAACATGCTTCCAACGGGGCGAGTGGTACACCACTGCCACCTAATAAAGATTGTTAATCATTTGGACTGGTTTGGGGTAGATGAAACCTGTTGGGGTACTGCGTAAGCTACTACAACTCCGAATCGCCAGTGGTTCACCAGGGATCTGGCTACAAAGGTAGCCTCCAAAACTGGAATCCCACAAGAGTCGAACATCAAACAAACCAGCTTGTGGTCTGCCTGTCAGATCTCGCAGAGTGTTTGAGCCCTCCTGACCCGCTTGCTTCTCCCACCTTCCTAAAAGCTAATGAACTAAACCAACAGGCGGGGTGAGACATTTCTTGGGTCCATTAAAGTGACGGACTCAAAACCACCCTTGAATTGGTGGTCCAAACAAGTCCCACCCAACGCCTCGTTTTTTTTTACAACGGGCCCGTTTCTCAAAAATGTCCATGCCACTTTCAGTTGGATCCCCGATTTCTTCTCGGATTTGTCCACCGCTTTGTTCTGAACCGTTTCGCAAAGCGCGAAGCTGCCGCGCTCCTCGAAGCTGTGGGCCTCCGAGCGGTGTGCGTACTTGTTGCGCGTGATGTTCCCGTGCTGCAGCTCCGCCCCATGGCGCTTGGAGCGCTCCATCTGACTGAAGGTGCCTCGAACTCAAAAAGCAAAGCCAGAGGTCTTGATCACTTCCTGATTCCGTGAAAAATACGAAAATATTGCGCCTGCTTCTTTTTTTTCTGCCTCGAAAAAAATACTGGTTTTGAGCTTGGAGAAGACCCCCGAGTAAATTGGCAAACAGCATCCAAACTTCTGGTTGCCACTCAATGTGTCTTCCAAAAAGTAGGTCCAGAAACTCAGGGTTTGGAATGGTCCCGAGCCAAACATTTGGATTGGGGTTCCATGTTCATTGCCAATCCCAGGAACATGTTGACTCCCCCATGTTCATCAATCGCTCTCTTCAGAAACCACCCAATGTCCATTGGTTTTGAGCAGTTGTCTAGACGCAAGGATCCTTGAGGAGAATGGAACAAGTACCGCTTGCAAGAGAAACAAATTGCGTGCAATGGCAAAACCTTCATCGGCCAAGCGAAGGCGGATGAAAATCCGAGGTGCGGAAGAACTTCCCCCTGGCGCCTTTGAAGGGCGGGGTCATTCCTCGGCAGAGTTGTGGACATGCAAAACTAACGGCCCAAAAAACCCAAATAGAATCTTCTGCAGACATCTCTGGGCAACACAATTTATAATCTCCACCAACCTCTTTTCCTCTTTTCCCAATGTGCGGGCCCTGCTCGGCCTTGTGCGGAACAGGCCCTTGACTGCGCCCTTCTGGGCTGAAGAACCGACGCAACCACGAAGGCTGCACACAAACCGCAACCACTGTCTGCGCAACGGAACCTCCTGCGACCTACCATGGCGCGTGAGACACCACGGGAACGACTGGGCCATCCCACACCTCCGGATCGATGCCCTCCCTGCAGCACTCAAAATGGCAACATTCCCACAGACTCCATCCAGTTCCCCACGCCGGGGACAAAGCTCGTTTTCCACTGGGCACATGGGCTGCCGCCAGTCTTGCGTGTAGCAAGCACCAGCGCGAACAGCCCGCAAAATGGCGCACTGCATGTCGGTTAAAAGCCAGTGACCTCGGCAACTTTCCCCGCGACCGAGACCAGCGAATGTATCACGGTGTTGGACCTGATGTCCGGCATGGCGCCTCCACAATGTTCAGGAGGAGCCCAACAAGTTGGATGGGAGAAGTATCCAGGGAGAACCGGCCAACATCATCAACCTCGGGCAGCCGCCCGAAACTCACGAATGCTGCTGCACGAAGAAACCCCTGTCATGCCCGCAGTCCTCAACCAAGCAAAACAAAGGAATTGGACCCCCAGCGGTCATCAACCAACCCTGCACGAAGCGTCTGCAACGCACGCGGCCACTCATGGCGTGCACCTTCGCTGGCTCAAACTGCATTTGAGTTTGGCCCACAAGTACGAACATGCGCTCCAAGATGCCAAGTCGCAAGTGCAACCTCAAACCCTTGCTTCGTGGCCCCCGTTGCTCTTCGTGGCACGCTGCGCGGGCTTGCCCGCATGGTCCATTTCGACGCCTGGACGCCCTTCGTCTTCTTCCTGCTGGACGCCTTCATGCCCGTCACCGACTTCATGGCCTTAGCCACCGTTCGGCTACCCCTTCTTCACAATTAAAACCAACACTCATGACAAGCAAGGAAAACTGCCCGGGGCTGGTCTCAGCCGAAGCACGCCTTGCTTATTGTACGGACCTGCGCTGGTCGAGCGTGCCTTGTCGGTGTTTGTGTACATTTTTAACACTTGCAGTTAGCTGGATGTGTGCTGTCCTTTGCGTTGGTTGGCTGGCCTTGACGACTGTCCAGCTTGTTTGGTAAGCCTGCAGCTCCCGTATCCCCTGCAACGGGCTCCTATTCCCTTGTAGGAACCTTACTCGGTGTGGCTGCAGCTGCTACTCAAGGTGCACCTCCGGTGGCAACAACATCCTGCGATGGCACCTAGGTGTTGCGCGCGCTGTTGCGAAACCATACACCCCTCAACCGGCTCAATTCCTTTCGCACTACGAAGGGTATTGGCAATCTGCGCTGCAGCCCACGCTGCTTGAATTCGAGGTGCAAGCTGTCCAACAGCGGCCCGCTGCAAGGCGCAAATCTGATCCCCAACTCGGTCTCCGCCTTGACGACTTCTAACCGCGTGACTTTGACCACCTTTGGCTGCTGCGGCAAATCAGGGATCTGGATGCGGCCCAGCTGCGCAATGACTGTCGGCTCACCAGATGCTCAAGCAATAGTGATGGCCGCTCTGGAATACGCTGCAAGCAGCTGCGCCAGGGCTGGCATGATCTCGTTCTGCACCACAAACTTGAAGCCGGCCAATTCCGCGCCCTGTCACAACGCACCAATGCCTGCGCAGCACTCAGTCAGATGAAAAGCGCTGCGACGTGTCAACACCTCGGAATTGGCCGCTGTGTGGTTCCAGGTCATGAACACAGCAGCGCCCGCGTAAGCTTCTGCCTTGCCTGGTTGACAGCGCCAAGGCTCGCGTTCTCAGCCTGTGGGCCCTTTCACGGTCCTCCTCGGCGTCGACTTTAGGTGCTCGGGCTTGAGGCTGAGTTGTTCATGTTGACAGCGAGAAGGACTTGTCTCTCTGTGTCTGGATGCCAGATGCTGCGACGCTGGCTCCGGCGTCGTGTCTCCCGCTTGCAGATGCTGTGACGCTGGCTCCGGGGTCGTGTCTCCCGCTTGTCTCCCTGTGTCTGGATGCCAGATGCTCCCGGCGTCACAGCATCTGGCATCTGACCGCAGAGACTGGGAAACACAGGGAGACAAGCGGGAGACGACCCCGGAGCCGGCGTCACGGCATCTGGCCTCTGACCGCAGAAACTGAGGGAGACAAGCAAGAGACACGACCGGAGCCAGCGTCACAGCATCGCAGAGACTGCGAGACACAGGGAGACAAGCGCGGGAGACACGACCCCGGAGCCAGCGTCACAGCATCTGGCAGACAAGCGGGAGACACGACCCTGGAGTCAGCGTTACAGCAACCGGAGAGACTAGGAGACAGGAAGACAAGCGGAAAACAGGACCCCGGAACCGGCGTCACACTTTCCCATTCTCTATACCTCAAGTTAGAACCCCAATGCTTCGCTGTTTTGGGAATCAAAACCAACCATGAAAAACTAGGGGAAGCCAACAGAAACCGGCTTCCCGAAAGATCCCATTTCGCTAGAGTCAATGCTGATTTCAACTAGGTCTCTGGTCGCGCCCGTGGGGGTCTTGCCCGTGCCCGCGCTGTCCTCCGGCGCCGCATCACTGCGCACGGAGGGCCTGCAGGAAAGGCGTAAAGTAGACCCCGTTTCTCTAGGAAACGGGTTCTACATATTTGGGGGGCACTCTGTTTTGGGCACCAGGCTGATGGATCAAGCACCTGTTGAAGGGGTAGCTCAAAAAGGAAACCCAGGGGAAATGACCCATTTTTGGCGTCCACCTATTTGCAAAAAAAACAGATGAACCGCGGTCCAAATTACTTGTTGCCCTGCAGGGCATCCGAGTAGTGACTCTCCTGCTTCTGGTTGTTGGTTGTTCAGTGACTTTTGCTCGTGTCCCAAAGGACCATAGACCATCAATAAGCTTGACCAAACCTCATGTCCTTTTTGGAGGGCAACTTTTGTGGGGCCGTGTTTCAGGCAAAACAAATGCAAATCATTCATGCTGGGTGTTTGGCCAGTTGGAGACAAACCCACATTTTGTATAACTTCCAAAACCTGAAGCCATGGAGTAAGCTGACAAATACTTAGTTGTACCGGGATTCCTTCTTTAAGCCTCTTCTTCTTTTCCTTTTTTGGGGGGATAGTATGAGAAGTCTAATGAATACCTTCCTGACCATCGCACTGTCCAACATTTGAACCAAAAGATTCCCTGTAAAGCTCCTTCAATGTCAGGGCCACCCTTCCTGAAATGAATAGAGCCTTTACCGCCTTGCTGATGTCTTAAAACCAGGAGCCAGTAGGAGAAGCTAAAGGGGGGGAGTCCGCCCATTCTTTCCACATGGCAGTGGGCCAATCCTCGTTAAATCGCAATGGGAAAATCCGCCGTGGCCTCCCACAGGCAACATCCCGTGCGTTTCAAAGGAGAAAAGGAGGGAGCAGGAGATACCAGGATCGGGTCCTTCAGCATCGATCGGCATGCCCGTTAAGGCAAAGCTGTTGGCAAGCACAACATGTTTGAACAACTGCGGTGTCTGGCATCTCATGCGATGATCCATGTGAAGCCCCATGGAAGTTTGTGAAAAGCTATGCAACGTGTGGTGCAAATCACGACAAGCCTGACCCCGTCCCTCCTTCCCCAGGCATCGTCCTGCCCTTGCCCCTCCCCTTCCGTAGCCTGATGGGAAATCCACTGGGCCTAATCCACTTCATCCTTGTTCTGGTTGGTAATCTTCTTACGCCGCAATCCGCGATTCAAAACCTTGTGCTGGAGCCTTGAACATCCATGCAACCCATAATCAGTCGTCCGTAAATCGCAGAATCCAATCCGTAAACATCCGTAAGCCACATAATCCGCATCTCCGCTAATCATTGGGGATTAGTTTTGAACAACCTAGCTTCTCCGCCCCTTCCCCCTTAAATGCAAAAAAAAGCAAAGAAATGCTGCGCTTCCCCCCGCTTGCCCCTCCTTCCCCTCCCAACCCCTCCCCCGCTCCCCGCCTGAAGTAGCCCCAGGTTCTGCGCGCCGCCGCCTTCACTGCGTCGGCCGGGCTCGATGGCGTCCTCGGCCTCGCAGACTCCACGCCGGCCGGGGCGGTGTTGCGGCTGGACGTCGGAGCACTTTCCTCCGTGATGATGGCCGGCGGTTTCCGTGGGTCCTGCAAAACCAAGCAAAAAACAAGCTTTCAAGCAAGCAAGCAAGCAAGCAAGCAAGCAAGCAGGCAAGCAGGCAAGCAGGCAAGCAGGCAAGCAGGCAAGCAGGCAAGCAGGCAAGCAGGCAAGCAGGCAAGCAGGCAAGCAGGCAAGCAGGCAAGCAGGCAAGCAGGCAAGCAGGCAAGCAGGCAAGCAGGCAAGCAGGCAAGCAGGCAAGCAGGCAAGCAGGCAA